AGGGTAATATTTAGTGAAGGGATTCAGGGAAACCGGTTGTTTTCATATAGTCGGACTTGAGTCCTGGAAATGGGAAGTACAATGCCTGCACTTTAAAGGAGGGGTTTGGGATATTGGCAGTTTGGAGGAATATGTTGTGTATCTTTATACGTATATGCTTCTAAACTATTGTATTCTGAGCACCTCTGCAAAAACAGTCATTATGTGTGAGTGTGGTGAAAGTGTTGAATGATGATGAAAGCATTTTCTTTTTGGGGATTTTCTTTCTTTTTTGGGTCACCCTGCCTTGGTGGGAGATGGCCGACTTGTTGAAAAAAAAAAAAAAAAACACACAAACTGAAGAAGACATGCACAGTTACATGACACTTGCCTTTATTGAAGATCTGGTGATGATTGATGGGATGGGAGGAGGGGAGACCATTGATCTTCTTAGTGTTTAGAAGGGGAATCCCCTTCCATTAGCACTTGAGGTAGCAAGTCTTTTTCTGTTGTTACTTCCCTTGTTCTTTTAATGCCACTAGGACCAGCTTCAGAGTCACTGGACTTCTGTCGCACAACATATCTGTCCATAGATACCTGTACCTCTCGTTCCTTTATGACTTTCCTAAAGTGGTTCACAACATTGTCAGTGTACAGGTTGCCAACACAGCTTGCAGTAGCTGTGTCAGGGTGATTTTCATTAAAAAAGGTTTGCACTTCAAGCCACTTTGCACACATTTCCTTAATCTTAGAAGTAGGCAACTTCTTCAAGTTCTCTATCCCCTCCTCCGAAGCAGTTTCCTCAGGTCTGCCCTCTTGCTGTTCAAGATGATCTAGCAGCTCATCAGTGGTTAGTTCTTCATTGTCCTCCTCCACCAGCTCTTCCACATTCTCCCCACTAACCTCCAACCCCTAGGACTTCCCCAATGCCACAGTGTTTTCCAAGCAGAGTTCAAGGTCCTCTTAGTCACTTCCTCCCAAGCCTTACCTATAATGTTTACACAATTGAGGATGGTAAAATGATCTTTCCAAAACTCTCTTAGAGTCAGTTGAGTTTCTGAGGTCACTACAAAGCACCTTTCAAACATAGCTTTTGTGTACAGTTTCTTGAAGTTGGAAATGACCTGCTGGTCCATGGGCTGCAGGAGAGGAGTGGTATTAGGAGGCAAAAACTTCACCTTAATGAAGCTCATGTCCCTAGAAAGCCGCTCTGCCAAGTCTGAAGGATGACCAGGAGCATTGTCTAATACCAGGAGGCATTTAAGGTCTAATTTCTTTTCAATTAGGTAATTTTTCACTTTGGGGGGCAAATGCATGGTGAAAACCAGTCATAGAAAAAGTCCCTAGTGACCCATGCCTTACTGTTTGCCCTCCACAGCACACACAAATTAGCCTTGACGACATTGTTTTTTCTGAACACTCTGGGAGTTTCAGAGTGATACACCAATAAAGGCTTCACTTTGCAATCACCACTAGCATTGGCACACATCACAGAGTAAGCCCGTCTTTCATAGGCTTATGTCCTGGGAGTGCCTATTCCTCTTGAGTAATGTAGGTCCTGCTTGGCATTTTCTTCCAAAACAGGCCTGTTTCGTCACAATTAAACACTTGTTCAGGTTTCAGTCCTTCACTGTCTATGTACTCCTTGAATTCCTGCACATATTTTTCAGCCGCTCTGTGGTCCGAACTGGCAGCCTCACCATGCCTTATCACACTATGAATGCCACTACGCTTCTTAAATCTCTCAAACCAACCTTTGCTGGCCTTAAATTCACTCACATCACTAGTTGCTGGTATTTTTTTAATTAAATCGTCATGCAACTTCCTAGCCTTTTCACATATGATCGCTTGAGAGATGCTATCTCCTGCTATCTGTTTCTCGTTTATCCACACCAATAAGAGTCTCTCAACATCTTCTGCCGCTTGCGATCTCAGTTTCGAAAACATAGTTGCACCTTTGGCAAGAACAGCTTCCTTGATTGCCGTTTTCTTGCCCACAATAGTAGCGATGGTTGATTGGGTTTATTATACAACCTGACCAGCTCAGAGACATGCACTCCACTTTCATACTTGCAATGATCTCTTTCTTCATCTCCATAGTAATTCTCACCCTTTTTGCTGTAGGGTTGGCACGGGAAGCTTTCTTGGGGCCCATGGTGACTTTTTTTTGCAGGTCAATCACTAAAAAGGGGCTTTGATAATATGAAATTTTCCCCGTTGTATGTTTGGAAGAAAAACCCCCGGGGTGGGCGGGCCCTTGGGTTAAACATTTGGGCAACCCCCGGGACAAGGAGGCGCGTTTCGGGCCAAAAATTGGCCCGCACCCTCGAAGGGAAACGAATAGCGCGGTGGGGTTTTTTTAAACGCTAGTGGGGCAAAATTTTTGCGTTAAAATGTATCCCCTAGTCAGATTTATCTTTAAAATCGATCCCATCGCTGGTTGAGGGCCCCACTGAAATGGGTTTTTTTGGGTATTGTTCCAGTTACAGTATTGTCCCCTTTTTATTTTTTATTCATTTTTGGGATTTTTTGTTTTTAACAAAAGGGCCATACCCCACTGAAGCAGGGTAAACCCCAAAAAGGGGAAAAGGGAAAGTTTTTTTTTTTTAAATTTGAAAAATGTAGGGGGGAAAAGGGGGTTACAAAGCTCCTTTCCCCCCAAATTTTTATTTGCCTCTTACCGTTTTCATTGCTTACTGAGGAAAAATTCTTTCCCCCCATTTTCCCCCTTGAAAATTATTGGACATTTTAAAAAACAAATTTAATGCCCCTTTAAAAATTTTTAACAATTGAAAAATTGCTTTCAAATTTTAGGGGGAAAGTCACAAAATTTTGGTAAAAAACAAGCCTATCTGATTTTTCCCTTTGATGCCAAATGTTCGAACGGGCGATAAATAAACATGTTTCATGAAACCCCCTCCCCCCAGGCCCAGACTAGGGAAAACTCCGTGTTCATAAAAGAACTGAAAAAAAAGCCCCTATCAGTGTTTTTAAACACCCCTTTTGGGAGGGGGAAATGCCCCACGGGGTTTTTCCCACATTTTACTAAAAAAAACGGGCATACCCCCCACTCCAAAAGGGGGCAGTAAAGCAATAGCAAAGAACTACAGACCAATAGAAATAACACCCCCAAAATCAAAAAAATTTCTTTAAAAGGGCCCCAAGAAGCAAGATCGCCCCCCATCAGTCCCATCAATTACACAACCCAGGGCAACAGGGGGTTTAAAAGCAGGTCGCCCCGCCCTGCCCCCCAACTACGGGAAACCCATTTACGAAAAGGTCCTTGTTTGCACAAAATAAAAAAAAATTACAGATGTAATATAAAAAGGGACTTTGAAAAAGCCTTCAACAAGTGTGCCCCCATGGGAAATATTTGCAAAAAAAATGCGGGGCTAAAGGAAAAAAAGGGAAAAATTTTGGTAGAGGGGATTTAAAATTTTTCCTCCCCAAAAAGAACACAAAAGGTAGAACCCAACAAAAAGTAAAGTTTTGGGGGCGGTTTGGGTAAAAAAAGCTCTGTTCCGCAAGGCACAGTATTTCCGCCCCCCTTCTTTTTTTCCCCCATCCTCATATCTGACATAGACAAGGTGTCAGCCACTGCACCATGTCTTCCTTTGCAGATGACACCCGAATCCCGCATGACAGTGGGCTTCCATTGCAGACCCCTGCCAAAAGGGTTTTAGGGGGACCCTCAGCCCCAAATTTTTTTAGTGGGGGGGGCAAAAACAAAATGGGTTTAAATTTATGGAAAAATTTTTATTATTCTGGGTATTGGGAAAAAATGAGCAAATTAAAAATTCATCGAGTATTTAAAAAAAAATTTTCCCGCCCAAAAAAGAGGGGGAAAAACTAACCCTCAAAGACCTGGGAGTGATAAAGTTGGAGGATCTCCCTTCAAGGAACATAAAAATTTTATCAACGCATCGCTAGAAAAAAGACGGATGGATTGAAAAACCTTCAAAAAATAGGGATGCCAACCCATGATGACATTCTTTTAGGTGCTTTTTTATTTTTTGTTTAAATTTGCTGAAAGTAAAGCCCCCTTTCAAGGGAGGTGAAATTGGGTTTTCCTAATAATCACAAGGGAAACCCTTTACGGGTTTCATAAAGGAGATAAAACACCTCAATTACTGGGGGCTCTTGAAGTTCCTGAACCCCGTATTCCTGGAATGCCGGTGGGGGAGATTCAAAGATTATATACAAAACCCGGAAAAAACTAGAGGGATAGTACCAAAATTGCACAAAGAAAAATTTTCTCACTGTGGGAAAAAAAAGACTCAGCGACGGGGGTGCAAAAATTCCCAAACCCAAAAAAACAGGGGTTTTCATAGCACGTTTTAAAAGACCCCAAAACAGTAAGTGTCAGGGGCCCCCAAAAACGTTTAGCTTTCCTCCCCCGCATACTTTAAAGGGGGTTTTCCCAATTTGACCCTGGCTGTCTTCAAACCCGGAAAATGGACAAGCACCCAAAGGGCGGTTTCCCCCACCAGCCGGGTTTGGCTTGTAAAGTTTGGGTTGGGGGTTTCAGCCCGCAGTAACAGCCTGGGTTTAAACATTCCCCATCCACCCTGAGGCCCCGGTCACAGACCGGGGCCCTGGGGTGTTGACCCCCGGAACTTTCTCCACGTAAACTCCCCAAAGGTTTAAGGGACATGGCTAAATTTATGCATTTTCTCTGCCCCACCTCTTCCAGCTTTTCTTCATTATTCGTAAACTTGGGCACTTAATTTCTTTTTTAAAAAATTTTTAATGTAAAATTTAAACTTCAAACTAACTACTAACGCTTTCATTTCATTTGGGGGTTTTTTTCCCGGAAAAACAGCCCAAAAATAAAGATTTGAGGGGGCTTATTTTTTTGAACTGTTAATATTAGAATTTCAGGGGCCCACTGTACACTTTTCATTTTCAGTGTGTTAAAACATTCCCGTATGCTTTTTTGTTGCAGATTGTAGATTATCTGACCCCCAAATTTGGGGGCAAAGGGACCCAAATTTGGGAGGAAACAGTTAATAAGCGTTAAACTGGCCTCATTCCCTCCCAAGAACTAGAAGAACGACGCAAGGCTTTTGTAAGACAAGAACATGATTACGTACACAAGATTGGTATTTGTGGCACGAGGGTTAGTATTTACAAATTTCTTTCCAAAGTGCTGTCTTTCACATCAAAGCTGCTGATCTAGTATGTCATTCTTGACTAAAATTTCATCAGCTAATTATTGAAAATAGTAAATAGTTATTAAGCAAAACTATTAGAGAAATACTATCCACTGTTTCTTCATATAAAGCTTCGTTTAATAGTGGGAGTGTATTGTAACATCAGTAACCAGTTTTGAGTAACATGATATGGCAGAAGATTTATGGCAAAAGGTCTCGACAAAAACAGAATTTGTCAGCGCTATTTGACTTCCAGCAGTTGGGTTTACCTCTCTTCTCCTGTCCCCGCCTCCCTTTCATATGCGTATATACTGGCTCCCTACCTTCGTGCTGTGTGTGACTAGTTAATGGTCCAAGTCGAACCAAAACATCGTAAGTTTCTTTCTCCTATGTGCAGGTTACTTATGTAATAGGTTTACCTGTTATTTTAGGTAATTTACATTAGTTTTCTTTTAAGGGGTGCCTTGATGCTAGTGAGGGGTTTATGATCTAAGGAATTATGCCTATCCATCCCTCTCTAGGATCAAACATGATTGCCTCCTATTTCCCTGGCCTTGTATAACCACTGCTAGTAGTTTTAGTGCATCCTAATGATTATAATATTGACATTATTTTTGGATAAGAAAGCCAAACTAAAAATTTAGTGCTCTGGCAAGTTTTCAGTTTTCTTTGTTGAGGGATGTAGTGTTGGCCACTCAAAGAGATGGTTGGGTGGTGGACCAGGTACTGAGTCATTCTATAAACTCAAATTGGTGAATAAATCACATTGCCAAGTTCAGCAATTAAATATTTATTGTTTTGTGAACTAGACCTCGGTATCCTTGTCAGCATCAGTACGTCATTCACTGACAGGAAATTTTGGTCAGTTATACACATTTAAGTTTTTCACATTTATTAAATAATATACACATAAACTCATTACAATAAAGGCATTACAATTGACTACACTTTCATGCAGGCCACAAGCAAATGATGAATACAGTAGGGCCCTGCTTTATGGTGTTTCACCTTATGGCATTCCGCTAATATGGACATTTCAGATTATGACCGAAACTCAATACAGCGGAACCTCGGCTTGCGAAAGCCCCACCATGTAAACTTTTCACGATACAAATTGTCATTTGGTTGATTTTTTGCTTCTGGATATGAACGAAATTTCAGGATACGTATTTTCCCCTCAAGGGAGGTTCCTTAAATAAATAAATAAAATATTTATTTTTCTACAAAGGTTACAGTGTGTGTTACATAATATGATTGGAGCAAAGAAAGCCATTATCATGTCTAGGTATTTCAGGCAGGCTTAATCTAATACATATAGACTACTTAAGTCTAGACAGGTGAAAAGTAGTGGTTACCAATGTTTTGCTGATGGTGGCACCAGCTACTGGCAGCCTTTTGAAGTTTCTTCTTACTGTTGTTATTATTATTATTATTATTGTTGTTGTTATGATAATTTTTATTATTAGTAGTAGTACATACATGGTGAGGGGCTCTTGATCTAGGGAATTGGATCTGTTTCAGTTCCCTAAATTAAGCCTGAATACCTTCCATCCCCTCCCTCCTACAAGCACTTCCCCATTATAATAATAATAATGATAATAATATATAATAATAATAATAATATATAATAATACTATATAATAGATGAGTAGTGGGGGGTTGAAGAGGGTTGGAATAGTTTTAAAAATGCAGTATTAGAATGTGGGGCAGAAGTTTGTGGTTATAGGAGGGTGGGGGCAGGAGGAAAGAGGAGTGATTGGTGGAATGATGAAGTAAAGGGTGTGATAAAAGAGAAAAAGGTAGCTTATGAGAGATTTTTACAAAGCAGAAGTGTTATAAGAAGAGCAGAGTATATGGAGAGTAAAAGAAAGGTGAAGAGAGTGGTGAGAGAGCGCAAAAGGAGAGCAGATGATAGAGTGGGAGAGGCACTGTCAAGAAATTTTAATGAAAATAAGAAAAAATTTTGGAGTGAGTTAAACAAGTTAAGAAAGCCTAGGGAAAGTATGGATTTGTCAGTTAAAAACAGAGTAGGGGAGTTAGTAGATGGGGAGATGGAGGTATTAGGTAGATGGTGAGAATATTTTGAGGAACTTTTAAATGTTAAGGAAGAAACAGAGGCAGTAATTTCATGCACTGGTCAGGGAGGTATACCATCTTTTAGGAGTGAAGAAGAGCAGAATGTAAGTGTGGGGGAGGTACGTGAGGCATTACGTAAAATGAAAGGGGGTAAAGCAGCTGGAACTGATGGGATCATGACAGAAATGTTAAAAGCAGGGGGTGATATAGTGTTGGAGTGGTTGGTACTTTTGTTTAATAAATGTATGAAAGAGGGGAAGGTACCTAGGGATTGGCAGAGATCATGTATAGTCCCTTTATATAAAGGGAAAGGGGACAAAAGAGACTGTAAAAATTATAGAGGAATAAGTTTACTGAGTATACCAGGAAAAGTGTACGGTAGGGTTATAATTGAAAGAATTAGAGGTAAGACAGAATGTAGGATTGCGGATGAGCAAGGAGGTTTCAGAGTGGGTAGGGGATGTGTAGATCAAGTGTTTACATTGAAGCATATATGTGAACAGTATATAGATAAAGGTAGGGAAGTTTTTATTGCATTTATGGATTTAGAAAAGGCATATGATAGAGTGGATAGAGGAGCAATGTGGCAGATGTTGCAAGTATATGGAATAGGTGGTAAGTTATTAAATGCTGTAAAGAGTTTTTATGAGGATAGTGAGGCTCAGGTTAGGGTGTGTAGAAAAGAAGGAGACTACTTCCCGGTAAAAGTAGGTCTTAGACAGGGATGTGTAATGTCACCATGGTTGTTTAATATATTTATAGATGGGGTTGTAAAGGAAGTAAATGCTAGGGTGTTCAGGAGAGGGGTGGGATTAAATTTTGGGGAATCAAATTCAAAATGGGAATTGACACAGTTGCTTTTTGCTGATGATACTGTGCTTATGGGAGATTCTAAAGAAAAATTGCAAAGGTTAGTGGATGAGTTTGGGAATGTGTGTAAAGGTAGAAAGTTGAAAGTGAACATAGAAAAGAGTAAGGTGATGAGGGTGTCAAATGATTTAGATAAAGAAAAATTGGATATCAAATTGGGGAGGAGGAGTATGGAAGAAGTGAATGTTTTCAGATACTTGGGAGTTGACGTGTCGGCGGATGGATTTATGAAGGATGAGGTTAATCATAGAATTGATGAGGGAAAAAAGGTGAGTGGTGCGTTGAGGTATATGTGGAGTCAAAAAACGTTATCTATTCAGGCAAAGAAGGGAATGTATGAAAGTATAGTAGTACTAACACTCTTATATGGGTGTGAAGCTTGGGTGGTAAATGCAGCAGCGAGGAGACGGTTGGAGGCAGCGGAGATGTCCTGTTTAAGGGCAATGTGTGGTGTAAATATTATGCAGAAAAATTCGGAGTGTGGAAATTAGGAAAAGGTGTGGAGTTAATAAAAGTATTAGTCAGAGGGCAGAAGAGGGGTTGTTGAGGTGGTTTGGTCATTTAGAGAGAATGGATCAAAGTAGAATGACATGGAAAGCATATAAATCTATAGGGGAAGGAAGGCGGGGTAGGGGTCGTCCTCGAAAGGGTTGGAGAGAGGGGGTAAAGGAGGTTTTGTGGGCAAGGGGCTTGGACTTCCAGCAAGCATGCGTGAGCGTGTTAGATAGGAGTGAATGGAGACGAATGGTACTTGGGACCTGACGATCTGTTGGAGTGTGAGCAGGGTAATATTTAGTGAAGGGATTCAGGGAAACCGGTTATTTTCATATAGTCGGACTTGAGTCCTGGAAATGGGAAGTACAATGCCTGCACTTTAAAGGAGGGGTTATGGATATTGGCAGTTTGGAGGGATATGTTGTGTATCTTTATATGTGTATGCTTCTAAACTGTTGTATTCTGAGCACCTCTGCAAAAACAGTGATAATGTGCGAGTGTGGTGAAAGTGTTGAATGATGATGAAAGTATTTTCTTTTTGGGGATTTTCTTTCTTTTTTTTTGGGTCACCCTGCCTCGGTGGGAGACGGCTGACTTGTTGAAAAAAAAAAAATACTAATAATAATGCTGATGATACTGTGCTCATGGGAGATTCTAAAGAAAAATTGCAAAGGTAAGCAGATGAGTTTGGGAGTGTGTGTAAAGGTAGAAAGTTGAAAGTGAACATAGAAAAGAGTAAGGTGATGAGGGTATCACATGATTTAGATAAAGAAAAATTGGATATCAAATTGGGGAGGAGGAGTATGGAAGAAGTGAATGTTTTCAGATACTTGGGAGTTGACGTGTCGGCGGATGGATTTATGAAGGATGAGGTTAATCATAGAATTGACGAGGGAAGAAAGGTGAGTGGTGCGTTGAGGTATATTTGGAGACAAAAAACGTTATCTATGGAGCAAAGAAGGAATGTATGAAAGTATAGTAGTACCAACACTCTCATATGGGTGTGAAGCTTGGGTTGTGAATGCAGCAGCGAGGAGGCGGTTGGAGGCAGTGGAGATGTCCTGTCTAAGGGCAAATGTGTGGTGTAAATATATGCAGAAAATTCGGAGTGTGGAAATTAGGAGAAGGTGTGGAGTTATTGAAAGTATTAGTCAGAGGGCTGAAGAGGGGTTGTTGAGGTGGTTTGGTCATTTAGAGAGAATGGATCAAAGTAGAATGACATGGAGAGCGTATAAATCTGTAGGGGAAGGACGCCGGGGTAGGGGTCATCCTCGAAAAGGTTGGAGGGAGGGGGTAAAGGAGGTTTTGTGGGCGAGGGGCCTGGACTTCCAGCAAGCATACATGAGCGTGTTAGATAGGAGTGAATGGAGACGAATGGTATTTGGGACCTGACGATCTGTTGGAGTGTGAGCAGGGTAATATTTAGTGAAGAGATTCAGGGAAACTGGTTATTTTTATATAGCTGGACTTGAGTCCTGGAAATGGGAAGTACAAAGCCTGCACTGTAAAGGAGGGGTTCGGCAGT